GCGATTAATTACAGTGGAACCTCAGTTTTCGAGCGTCTCGGAAGCCAAACAATTTGGAACCCAAACGCCAAAAACCCGGAAGTAATTGCTTCTGTTTTCAAACGTTTTTTGGAAGTTGAACGGCCTCCAGGGAGTTTTCTTCTCTGCCCGCCCCCCCAGTGACTTTGCGGCCAGCCCATTGATCCTCGGTTTTCGAACGTTTCAGAAGCCGAACGGTCCTCTGGAACGGATTACGTTAGAAAAATAAGGTTCCACTGTATTGGATTTATGATTTGAAATCAGGGAGTTGCCAGCTCCTACACCCTACACCAGTAGTTTGGGCCTGCCTTTGTAAGGATCTGCTTGAGATCATTTGATTTCTGCATTTTTCTTATTTTAAAGAATGTTATACAGTATACAGTAGGGACGCGGGTGGCGCTGTGGGTTAAACCACAGAGCCTAGGGCTTGCCGATCAGAAGGTCAGCGGTTCGAACCCCGCGATGGGGTGAGCTCCCGTTCCTCGGTCCCTGCTCCTGCTAACCTAAGCAGTTTTAAAGCACGTCAAAGTGCAAGTAGATAAATAGGTACTGCTCTGGCAGGAAGGTAAACAGCGTTTCCGTGCGCTGCTCTGGTTTGCCAGAAGCGGCTTAGTCATGCTGGCCACATGACCTGGAAGCTGTACGCCGGCTCCCTCGGCCAATAAAACGAGATGAGCGCCACAACCCCAGAGTCGGCCACAACTGGACCTAATGGTCAGGGGTCCCTTTACCTTTATATAGTACAGTGGTACCTCTGGTTACGTACTTAATTCGTTCCGGAGGTCCGTTCATAACCTGAAACCGTTCTTAACCTGAGGTACCACTTTAGCTAATGGGGCCTCCTGCTGCCACTACGCGATTTCTGTTCTTATCCTGAAGCAAAGTTCTTAACCCGAGGTACTATTTCTGGGTTAGCGGAGTCTGTAACCTGAAGCGTCTGTAATCTGAAGCGTTTGTAACCCGAGGTACCATTGTATACACTCTGTTTCCCAGTCTAAGACTCTGGACTGGAGCAGGTTATAATAAATTCCTGGCATGTGCTGCTCGCAGGATAAGAAAACACAGGATGCGAAAAGCACCCAAACAGAAGTATTTCATCCATTTGGCCTTAAAATGGATGGCCAGCTATATTCCTGGGCTTCTGATTGAGAAAGTGCATATCGTGACCCACCCTCACTGTGTATCTAAGGATGAGGGTTATTCAGTTGTTTAAGTTTTCAAGCTTGCTTTTCACTCTGGGATGCATCTTATGGTACACATGCTTGCAAAAGGTTCAGATGCTCAAGCTTGCCCAGGAATCACAAAACCTTTCTCCTGAAGAATCCTCGGTATGTGGAGGCAGAGTGGAACCATTCGCCTGTGAGGGAAAGGCATTTTGCACAAACTCAGGAGCACTCTTATCACTTCCCACAGCCAAAACAAGTTCCTTGTACAGTGGTAAGGTAAAAAGGTAAAGGGATCCCTGACCATTAGGTCCAGTCGCAGATGACTCTGGGGTTGCAGCGCTCATCTGGCTTTACTGGCTGAGGGAGCCGGCGTACAGCTCCCGGGTCATGTGGCCAGCATGACTTAGCCGCTTCTGGTGAACCAGAGCAGTGCACGGAAACGCCATTTACCTTCCCGCTGGAGCGGTCCCTATTTATCTACTTGCACTTTGACGTGCTTTCGAACTGCTAGGTTGGCAGGAGCAGGGGCCGAGCAACAGGAGCTCACCCCGTCGCGGGGATTTGAACCGCGACCTTCTGATCAGCAAGTCCTAGGCTCTGTGGTTTAACCCACAGCACCACCCACATCCCTTTGTACAGTGGTACCTCAGGTTAAGAACTTAATTCGTTCCAGAGGTCCGTTCTTAACCTGAAACTGTTCTTAACCTGAAGCACCACTTTAGCTAATGGGGCCTCCTGCTGCCGCCAGAGCACAATTTCTGTTTTCATCCTGAAGCAAAGTTCTTAATCTGAGGTACTATTTCTGGGTTAGCAGAGTCTATAACCTGACGCGTCTGTAACCTGAAGCGTATGTAACCCGAGGTACCACTGTATAAGGAATGCAGGTGACCCTTGTACATGCATATGGAATCCACCTCAAAATTCTGAACTTTTGAAATTCAAGATTTCACATTCTAATTAGTTCTTAGTGTTTTCCCAACTTTGTAAAGTACATCTTTCTCAGAAATCTGATTGACAAGTTGTTTTTTTCTGGTTCAGCCCCAGGGGTGCCAAATTTGAAACTCAGAATTTTGTATATTTACTCACAGAAATAAGAAGCAATGAGTACTATTTAAAGTGTGCATAGGGTTGCAGTCTTAGATTCAGTATTTCCCCTAAGGCTGCACTTATCCAGGCGTAACATAGAAGCCAGTCCCAAAGAATGGATCACACAGCATGTGTCTATTTGAATCATTTTTTAGGCCTTCTTACAAATGAAGAATGAGACTATTCTAATTATATTTGGTGTTATTGAGGTCCCTCGTTCTGTTTGGGGGAGATGGGAAGCAATGATGTTCTAATCTAACCTGATGTAGAAGTTGACGGTTCAAAATTCAGACTGCATAAAGGGAAGCTTGATTTTTTTTTTGCAATGGAAGAAATAACATTTCAAGCAGAGGTGCAAACTCAGAACTGAAAGGTAAATACATATAGAATAAGATCAGCAAAAATATTGTTATCCACCATTATAAAAAAAAATTTGCCCGCAGTTGAGCACCATTTCTTTCTTTATCAAAACACAGCAACACTTGCATTTGCCAGTGCAGAGTTAAGAACTTAGTTTTGCAAATTGGAAGCTTGCATTTTGAGAAACCAAAACTTGCATGTAAAGCAAAAAGAGAGAAACGAAACAAGAATCCCACATGTTGTCATCAAGAAGGGTTCGATATACACTGTTTATCGCCTCGGAATATTGGAATGTTGACAGCACAATCCCATGGATGTTACTCTTAAGACAGTATTGCCAAGTTAAGTGGAGCTCAGTGTCAAATACGTTTGTGACTATAAGTTTTCCGTTTCAAGAGCTGGAACTCACGTGCTTTTCACCCCAAAGCGGGAGAGTCATTCGATACTTCAAACACACAAATATGCACCCTTGAAATCCAAGTCTTAAGAAACCCAGATTTTCACACAACTGCGTTTCAAGACAGAGGCACGCACACACATGTCCACCCCTCAATTTTGCACCCGTTCCAGTACAAACGCAGATTTTGTAAAAGAGCATCCATGTGATCCTTGTGTTTACTGGAAAGACCAGGGAAGGATAAGCAGGTGCAGAACTCTTTGTGGATTAAGACACATAAAATATGCAATTGATTGCAAGATGACGCATGGAACTGCCTTGAAATGGGGCATTTCCCTTCTTAAACCAGAACACAGGGCTCCTGCTCACATACAGAGAAGAATAATGAGACCCTTAATCTTAAGGGTCATGGGTTCAAATCCCACGTTGGGCAAAAGATTCCTGCATTACAGGGGACTGGGCTGAATGACCTTTGTGGTCCCTTCCAACTGTATAATTCTATGATGAGTACAGTGGTACCTTCAGGTTACAGACTCCGCTAACCCAGAAATAGTGCTTCAGGTTAAGAACTTTGCTTCAGGTTGAGAACAGAAATCGTGTTCCGGCAGTGCAGCGGCAGCAGGAGGCCCCATTAGCTAAAGTGGTGCTTCAGGTTAAGAACAGTTTCAGGTCAAGTACAGACCTGCGGAACGAATTAAGTACTTAACCAGAGATACCACTGTATAATGAAGAGGTTTGTCTCCCCGCTCCACAGGTCAACCTGCATATTACGCCCCAAGCACAGCAGAACAAACTCACCCATACTTCATGAGTTATGGATAAAGCTCTTTTTTAAAAAAAGAAATAAACAGGGACAAGCGAACTCCAGAATATGTATGTCAGTCATACAAACCCTGAACATCACCAGGTTGAATGCAAGAGGTTTCAAATTCACAGACAAAAATGGAGAAAGGAAAGATCCGAATTATCAACCTCTCTGCAAAAACAGTTACATTCACACATGCATGCACTGAAAACATCGCCTGCATTGAAAACTCCAGTCTTGAATATTTACACTGACAGATCTCTTCCCACCCCCAAACTGCTGTTGTGCAAAGCAACACCACTTTTCTATCAACTGCTCCGATGCATTTTGCAGATGAAAGAGATTTCTGCTGGTAGAGATCTGCTGCTACAAGTGGAAACACAAACTCACAAAACAACGGCAGGGGGAGGGGAGGAAGAGAATCTCATTCTTCAACACCCCTAAAATGCATGCAGGACCCAGGAGGCTGGACCCTTCAATGATCCCACATTTGCCCAGTGCATGTGCACAAGCCAGTGTCAACTATGTGCAACAACCGAGCAGCTGGTGTGCAGCAGGATCCCGGATTCTGCGGGGCTGGCTTAAAGTGTGTTTAGGATCGCAGCCAGGTCGTGAAGCTGTAATCCACAAGGCAAGTTAACCCAGCAGATTGGCTAACCGAAGAAAAAGACCTTCGAAAACAAGATGCAAAGTGAAGAAGAGGAGCGCGTGAGCTTTGAAAAGCAGGGCGAGGAAGTGAAGAAAAGTCGAAAGCTAAGGGAGGAAAAGCAAAGCAAAACGAGAAGTAAAAGGTAGAACTTGCGCACCGAATGGAAGGAAGTTCACAACAGAAGAGCCGGGATCGCACAAAAAAAAGGGAGAGACTAATAATTGAATAGCTGATGTAAAATATGCAAGGATTTATGTATGCAAAATAAACCACAGAAAGAGAATAAGCCATTGATATTTTAAGGTTATTTAAATGCATATTGCAAAATGTGAAACAGAAAATAATAATACGAAATTATACAAAAAACTGAAACTACAGAAAAAAAAGGCGTGAAAGTGCAAAAAAGGGAGGGGAAATCTCACCAAAAAATTGGGGAAGGGGAAATGTAAGGGAAATTGCATGCGGAAAGTTTGAGCAAGCCCGATCGCGCAAAAGTGGGGGAAGCGAAACGCCGCTGACCCGAAATAGGCGTCCACCTGCAGGAGCAGCAGGCAGCAAGCGGCCGCGGCGACCGAGACGCGCAGGGGCGGCGGCAGCAGCAGCAGAGGCTTCTCCGGCGGGCGCATGTTGCCGGCCGCTGCTTCTGCGTCGCGATCCTCCGCCGTCTCCCGGGCTCGGCATGGCGCTGCGCAATCGGCGCCCGGGCGCCTCGGCAGCCCGTTAAAAAGGGCACCTGGCGGGGCGGGAGGGGCGCGCCCTCCCTCGGCCCCGCCCCCCAGCGGGAAGGTGAGAGGCAAAGGGCCGCCCGGGGTGGGATGGGGTGCGGGGCGGAGACCTCGCCCGAGGCGCCCGGAGATCCTGGGACTCGCCCTCGTGCCGAGAGAAAGAAGAACTTCGAAGGGAAACGTGGGGAAGGGCGCCCCTGACCATGTGCAGAGTGCGCTGTCTTCTGGCGCCTACCCTCTCCACTGTTTAACAGCACAGCATCATGCTTAAGAATCAGTGCCGGATTTATGTACAGCGGTACCTCGGGTTAAGTACTTAATTCGTTCCGGAGGTCCGTTCTTAACCTGAAACTGTTCATAACCTGAAGCACCACTTTAGCTAATGGGGCCTCCTGCTGCCGCCGTGCCCCCCCGGAGCACGATTTCTGTTCTCACCCTGAAGCAAAGTTCTTAATCTGAAGCACTATTTCTGGGTTAGCGGAGTCTGTAACCTGAAGCGAATGTAACCTGAAACGTATGTAACCCAAGGTACCACTGTATAAGCTAAACAAACTATAGCTTAGGGCCCCACTCTCATGGGGGCACTCCAAAAAAAATTTAAAGGGAAAAAACTGGATGTACATTTCCAAAATACAGTCATACCTCTGGTTGAAGGTGCTTCAGGATGAGCGCGTCCGAGTTGCGCTCCGCGGCAACCCAAAAGTAACGGAGCATGTTACTGCCGGGTTTTGCCACTTGCGCATGCGCAGACGCTCAAAATGATGTAGCGCGCATGCGCAGAAGCGGCGAAAAGCAACACGCACGTGCGCTGACGTGCCGTCGCTGGTTACGTTTGCTTCTAGATCCGAACAGGGCTCCAGAACGGATCCCGTTTGCATCTAGAGGTACCACTGTATAAGATAAAAAACAAATAAAATAAAGCCTACATAGAGTAACAGTGTTTTGTGTTGTGTTGACTCCTGTGATGTAGGTAATGGAGCCCGCCTGCTCCCTAAAATATCACTGGAAGATGTTGGACTTTTTGGAGCTAGCCGACCTGACTGGAAGGATCAGCGACCAGAAAGAAGAGGAATATCAAGAAGATTGGAATAAATTTAAGGATTGTTTAAATAAATATTGTAATATAAATAATTAGAAGTCATTTGAAAGTACCAAATAGGCCTAGGATTAAATGAGGATGCGATTGTGAGTAAGTTAGATTTAGAATAGTAGGAAATGAGAATAAGATAGTTAATTGCTGGAATTAATTTTAGTTAAGAATGTTACTGGAGAGCTGTTACCTGCAGATATAATGAAATTCAAAAGGGAGGGATCTGAGGAGGTCAATTAACAATGTAAGAGAAATTGGGCTTTTTTCTTTAAGGGATAGGTGTTTAAGATCCCATTTTGGCTTTTGTTTTTGTTCAACATTGTATTGTGTTTTCTTTGTGTGTATTCTTTTCTTTTTTCTATGTCATATTTGTTATAACTGGGGGAAATTTATTTTAAAAAAATTGGGTGAAAAATAAAATCACTGGTTTGCTCATTTCTATATGTAGGGTGCCTGCATTCTGCATGGACTGGTTGCATGGCAAAAAAAAAACACATGTGCCAATGGCTTTAGATACCTATTAGGTCCAGAAATTACCATATAGCATATATTCAACACAAAAAACCAGCGACAATTTGTTGCTGACAAAGGACAGCTGGACATATAAAGAGCCCTGTTACCTTCCATAGCTTAGGGCCTCCTCAAACCTAAATCTGGCCCTGGGAGGGAGGGATATGTTTTCTGCTTTGCAGAAGTTATGTTCCCCACGCTGATTCCCATGCACATTTTGGGATCGTGGCCCTGAAAAGGCACTTTTTTCGGGGGGGGGGGCGAGATTTCATTGTGAAATTGCGCAAGGTTACAGCAACCAAAATGGCCGCCGTTCTCTTGTGGAAAAATAGGGTGTCCCATTTTTCCCTGGGATGCTTGCAGAGTATTGGGCCCCCATATGGACTATACATTTAAAGCATCATCATTTAAAGCACTTTAAACAGTTACGGTTTCCCCCAAAATGGGTTTAACAGTTAATCTTTCTTTCCAGGGAACTCTGGGAATTGTAGCTCTGTGAGGGGAATGGGGGTCTCCTAGCAACTCTCAGCACCCATAACAAACTGCAGTTCCCGGGACTCTTTCAGGGGAAGCCATGACTGTTTAAAATATGATACTTATTTATATGTGTAGTGCACCCTAATGGTAGCCAAGAGAGGGATACTGATGAATGGGAAGAACAGAGATACGATGCCCCTTAATTAGTGGCTTGACAACAGGACATCATCGGCAATATATGAACAGACAGTTTATAGATGCAGACTTTGGATAAATGCAATGATATTTGGAATGAGTTTACAGAGGATATATTAGGTTATTGACAATTGTATGTGTATTAGAATAAGAATATACATACCTGTATGATAATGTAGAGGGGCGCGGGTAGTGCTGTGGGTTAAACCACAGCTCCCGTTGCTCAGTCCCTGCTCCTGCCAACCTAGCAATTCAAAAGCACATCAAAGTGCAAGTAGATAAGTAGGTACCGCTCTGGTGGGAAGGTAAACGGCGTTTCCCTGCGCTACTCTGGTTCGCCAGAAGCGGTTTAGTCATGCTGGCCACATGACCCGGAAGCTGTATGCCGGCTCCCTCGGCCAGTAAAGCGAGATGAGCGCTGCAACCCCAGAGTCGGCCACAACTGGACCTAATGGTCAGGGGTCCCTTTACCTTTATATTAATGTATGGTAATGTAACTGTCTTTTTTCTTTTTTTATTCTCATTCATTTCTTCCTTTCTTTTCTCACTCTTTATAAATGAAATGCTTCCAATAAAATATTAATAATGATAAAACATTACCCATACCTGTCAATGTATGAAACTCAGAGATATATGTTTTTCATCTTTCCCATGACCAAGAAGCCTGCTTCCTTTATTCCTGCAACTTTCTCCTAGGTTTAAGTCAAACTAAGAAAACTATGTGTTCCTTCCGTTGTTGTGGGTGTGATGACATGACAGACATCCTCTCCCCAGTTTGACAGCACAAATCAGCTCTCCACATTGCATTTGGTCCTTGTCGCTGGAGGCAGGTTTCAAAAGGTAAAAGACACTTGGATGGTTAAGTCCACTCAAAGGCAACTATGGGGTTGTGGTGCTCATCTCGCTTTCAGGCCTTTGTCCACAGACAGCTTTCCAGGTCATTTGGCCAGCATGACTAAAACGCTTCTCATGCAACGGGACACCATGATGGAAACCAGAGCGCACAAAAACGCCATTTACCTTCCCACCGCAATGGTACTTATTTATCTACTTGCACTGGTATGCTTTCAAACTGCGAGGTTGGCAGGAGCTGGGACAGAGCAACGGGAGCTCAGCCCATCATCGGGATTCAAACCACTGACCTTCTGATCGGCAAGCCCAAGAGACTCAGTGGTTTAGACCACAGCACCACCCGCTCTCTCTACACATCACATTTGGTCCTTGTCACTGCAGGCATGATGCACACACGGCAGGTGAACTCTGGTGATGCTTCCATGGACACCAAGAGCACACCTGTCATTCTCGACACTGCTGTTTTATTTTCCGTTCTGTATGTTTTTCTCCTGCGCTGAACGTGTGTTGGATCTGGCAGCCGTTCTGCTGGCTCCAGCTGCAACACAGCATGAGTGGAGCATGGCTCTGTCATTCTTGCCCACCCTTCGAAAAATTCCAGCAAAAAAATAACGTCGCACTTTGTGACCCAACGTGATGCAATCCAAGCACTGGTGGGATCCAAACAGGGCCCCTCACAAGCCGCTCTTCATGACTGGACAGGCTCCGAGGAGAGAAGGAGGTCCTATAAATGATGAAGAACTATATGTAGGTGACTAGGCATACAGTACAATATGATAATTTTTAATAGTCCCATTCAGAACAACGAAACTGGGGGAAAATCTACATAAGACATTCAAAACCAACAAGCCTGCTATCCCAGCTATCCCAACCTGGTTGGCCCCCTAAAAACTCTGATACCCCATTTTAAAAATACAATACACCCCTATAGAGACTCCTTACATTGTGTTTAAAACCAAAATCGCATTTGGATAGAAACTGTTTCTCAGGCGGCTAGTCCTAGTCTTTATAACCCTGTACCTTCTTCCAGAAGGCAGAAGCTGAAAGAGATCTTTCACTATCCTGCGCTATCTCTGCAGCTTTCTTATAGCACCTGGAAGCATAGATTTGATCCAAAATGATTTCTCCCTCCTTCCAGCAGCCCTTTGCATCTCTGCACTGCCCGTGAAGGAAAGGAATAACTCTCCTCCAAACATAGCATAGTGTCATTGGTCTTGTCCCCTGCTAGTGGGAGCGATCTGTGCCAACTTTTAAAAACCTGCTGAAAACTTTTCTATTCTGCCAGGCCTGTGCATAGGCTAGTATAGCGTCCAAAATCGGGTTGAAGTCCGTATCGTGATATCGGTTTCATAATTTTTGACCTGGCAATATTTTGTGAATCACAATTGTGTGTGTGTGCCCTATGCAAAAATCACAATGCGGGGAAAACGGGGAAGCAAACTGTGGCGATCACACACAGGGCCCCCGGACATTTGACGGTCTATTGACCCTGTGCCACCACTGCGATTGCTTTTTCCGCTGCCACCACCCCGTATCTCACGGGGACACACGGAGTCCAGTCAGTTGTTAACATAAACCAATAATCAAGTTTATTTTTAAATGCAGGAACAAGCTTATGGTTACAGTTAATTTTACTTGGCAGTTTCTTATTCTTAGTTCCTAACAGCTCCAAACTGATTATTCCCAACTATCTACAGTGGTACCTCGGCAAGACGAACGCCTCGGAAGACGAAAAACTCGCTAGACGAAGGAGTTTTTCATTTTCTTAGCCGCTTCGCAAGACGCATTTCCCTATGGGCTTGCTTCACATAACGAAGCTTGCCCCGCAAGCTCCGGGGATAGCGGGGAAGCGCAGCGCGTCTTCCCCGCTGTCCCCGGACCTCTTTTGAAGCA